AGGCAGGAGGTACTACTATCACTGGCAGGTTAAGCGATCTGCCCACACAGCGGGGAGGAGGTGGACGCCGAGTTCTGAATCCAGTACAAGCTCAGAACCAGGAGTGCAGTGGTCAAGAAGGGGACCTTCCTCATAAGGGCGCCACATTCATGCCCATAAAGCATAATTATTAGTTAGCTTTTTGATTTTATTTTATTTTATTTTATCTTTATTGTTGAGGGTATTACAAATGTCTCTCCCTTTTTTGCCTCCTTGCCCCCCACCCACCACCTGGTACCCACCCAGCCCCAGGCTTTCACCACCCTACTGTCCGTATTCATGGGCAACGCATATAAGCATATAAGTTCTTTTTAGTTAGCTTCTTAAAGTTATCGACTTATATGCCTGGATACCTCACTGGACCATGAATTCCCTAAGCCCAGACCCTTATGTTTATTTTTGTAAAACAGAAATCTATTGTAACTTATCATATATTAAAGTTAAGGAACATAAATTAAAATCCCAATGTTAATCTTTAGAGATACTTTATACAGGAGAGAGAAAATTCCATCAAATCTCACTATTTTTTCCCAAAAAAAGTAATGGAATTCATAAGTGAATAAACAATCCAAACCACTGCAGCAACTAATAAAAGCTCTCCAATTTTCATAATAAAACAGAAACCTATTGTAGATTTTGGCCAAAATGGAGTCTCAAATATCCTTAAAAGAATGAATACAAGGTCACTCCCTTTTATATGGCTTATCCTATATAATAAAAGGGTAATATGCAAATTGACCCTAACAGCAGAACGACTGGGAATGACTGGTCACTATGACACACACTGACCACCAGGGGGCAGATGCTCAATGCAGGAGCTGTCCCCTGGTGGTTAGTGCACTCCTACAGGGGAACTCTGCTCAGCCACAAGCCAGGCTGATGGCTGCCAGCACAGCGTGGTGGCGGGAGCCTCTCCTGCCTCCTCAGCAGCACTAAGGATGTCTGACTGCCAGCTTAGGCCTGATCCCCTGGGGAGTGCTCCTAACCCAGCAGGTGGACATCCCCCAAAGGGTTCCCAGACTGCGAGAGGGCACAGGCCAGGCTGAGGGACCCCCCCCTATTGCACAAATCTTTGTGCACTGGGCCTCTAGTTATAGTAATAAAATACTTCAAATACTCATTAGACCATGACAATTACATTAAAAATGAATCCAATTGGTCTGTTGTTTTAGGTACACACTGAATGAAATAAGAGAATCTAAAATGTTGGAAGCAGCCTGAGATCCTTTCATATGTATATTCACCATTTGTATATATTTTTCTGTGATTTTTCATATACTTCAGGTATTTTTATAACCTTTTTGTTGTTTTATTGGAATACTAGAGGCCCAGTGCACAAAATTCATACACGGGTAGGGTCCCTAGGCCTGGCTGCGATCATGGCCCATCAGGGCCTTCCAGCTGCCAGCTAGGGCCTTCTTTCACTCTGTGCCACCCCCTGAGGGTCAGCATACGTCATAACGAGCTACAGAACTCCCGGTCTCCCAAACTCCCATGGGGACACTTTGCATATTAGCCATATATAGTCTGGAAAAAATTAGTGTTGGAAGCAGCTATTTAAAAAAAAAAAAAAGTAACTTCCACCCTTTCTGGTTTGGCTCAGTGGATAAAGTGTTGACCTACAGACTGAAGGGTCCCAGGTTCAATTCTGGTGAAGGGCACATGGCCAGGTTGCGAGCTTGATCCCCAGTGTGGGGCATGCAGGAGGCAGCCAATCAATGATTCTCTCTCATCACTGATGTTTCTATCTCTCGCTCTACCTTTCCATTCCTCTCTGAAATCAATAAAAAAAAATTTTTTTTTTTTTAAAGTAACTTCCCTCTGATGGAGAACTCCTCATTATTATCAGGGCTTTTAGTTCAGCTGTTCAAAATAGAATTCTTTTTCCTCAAAGTTTTTCAGTTTGATTAACATAATGCCTCTAAAACTTTGGCAACATCCTGACTTAGAGTCTGTGCCACTGACATTCTTAAAACTATATTAATTCCTGCCAAAATGCACGCCATGAATCTAACTTTGAGACATGAGGCAAACACAAGCTGAGGGACAAGCTGTGAAGTAACTGGACAAAAACTGGCCTATCCTTTTCAAAAACGCCAACATCATGGAGCTATGCCAGGCTGGAGGGTGGAGAGAGAGAGGGCAGCTAAACGCAATTGGCAACCCTGGATTGGTTCCTAGATCAAGAAAAAAAAATGCTGCAGCCCTGGCCGGGTAGCTCAGCTGATTAATGTCACCCCAATATGCCAAGGTTACGGGTTTGATCCCCAGTCAGGGCACATGCAAGAATCAACCAATGAGTGTATAAACAACAAATAGATGTTTCTATGTTTCTTTCTTTTTCTCTCTCTCTCTATCTCTCTCTGTCTCTCTCTCTCTCTCTCTCTCTCTCTCGCTCCCTCTCTCTCCTCTCCCTCTTCCTCTCTAAAATCAATTTTTTTAAAAAATGCTACTAAAGGACATTTTAGGGACAAACGGCCAATTTTGAGAAAGGATTCTAGATCTGATTAATAGTAATGCCTCAATGTTAAATGTTAAATTTCCTGATTTGGCTCACTGTACTGTGTTATGTAAGAGAACTGTCCTCTTAGGAATTAAACACTGGAGTGTTTAGGGGCAAAAGGAATGATATCCTCACCTTAATCTCTAATGGCTAAGACAGAGAGAGGCTAGCAGCACGCTGACCACTGAGGAACCGGGGTGACCGGCTTGCACGAGTTCCCTGCAGGACGTCTGCAGCTTTTTGCTAGTTAGAGATTATGACCCCCAAATGCTTAACTATCTTATTTAATCCAAGCACTGCTTTCTCAGCCAGGAAATGATGTTGAAGGCAGGGAAAGCTCATGGCCTACCATCTAGTGGTCGCAGACTGGATATTCTGGTTTCTAAGCATTTCTGAACTCCAGAAGGAGTGTTGAAAAGTCCATTTTAAGTTGTCCTGTGATCAAAAAAAGAAAACAGACCCGCGTGGACATGCATGTCCCTATTTGCTTCATCTCGCTTTTGGGCTTCATTGAATTCTTGGTGAGATGTCTCACCGGGAAAATATCTCTGAGTCATTAAATGGCGCGGGAAGGTCAAAGGAGGCTTCTTTCTCTTCCTTCCTCCCTCGGAAGCCTTCTGCTTGGGCTCTTCTCTCCGGCCCCTCCCCCAAAAGTGGATCAAATAACTAAACTCACCTCCATCACGCCCCTGGCTGACAGTTTTTTGGTCGCCCGCCCGTTTCGGGGCTTTCAAAACCAACTGCAGGGGGAGGGCCTGGGTTAATATTCAGAGCTCGGCTCCCTGGCCTCTCCTGTCGAATTGGCATGACAATGGGAGCCGTGGGTCCCAAAGGGAGGCCGACAAAGGAAGACAAGTTTTTACTGCTGGAGCCATCTGCCAATTCTCTCTGGGGCCTTTGCAAGAACGGAGGGGATGGTAGCAGCAGCTGAGAGGGGCCTGCAGGGGAGGGCACGAAAACCACGCCGGGGAAAGCCATTGCAATATGGAAAGAAGCGAAGGGCGGGCGGCTGGACAGATGAATGGAAGGCCTCCCAACGCCCCTCCTCTAAACAGACCCAGGGGCCCGCTCCGCCGGTTGCCAAGCATTGCAAATGTCATCGTCAGGATATGTTATTAAGGGAGGGTTTCATATACACAAACCACACAAAACGCCTCCCCAGAGGGGTCTTCTGATTACCCACGTGGAACCCCCAGGCCACCTGCCTTTGCAAAGATTATACTGGGTTCTTATTCTTTAGTTTGCAAAATGTCCTAAACGCAGTGGTTTAGCAATAACAAAACATATTTCTATACCCGCTCGAAAGTCCCCCTTCTCCCAGAGACTTGCAAATTTTTAAGACCACCAACTATGAAAATCTATTCAGGGCACTAAAACAAAAACACTTCATGCCCTCAAGGAATTTTGTCCAAAATTCCAATGTTTGGGGAGGAGGAGCAGAGGGGGGGGGGGGGGGGGGCCAAAAAATATTCCTCTGGCATTTTTCCCAAAAGGAAAATTCTACTGAAAACCCAGGAAGACTAAAGGGCTGAACAGCAGCAGTTCACGCCAGGCCCGGGGCCCAGCTCCTCCCGCACCTGTCTCGTCTCTTTCAGAATTCCCCCTTTCCTGCAGGCGAGGCACAGCTCCCACTCCCTCAAGCCTCTCCTAAAACATTCATCCCTGGATGGGATCAGCCATCTTAGGGGACTGCAGGCAGGAACTTTCTCTCCTTTCTGAACACAGCCTCACAGGAAATCTACTCTAGGACTGGGAGGGGGAAGCAGAAGTCCACCTTGGCGGGTAGTTTTGTGGGGTTTGGGGTGGGTTTTGAATCCCACCATTTAACACGCTGGTGTCCGGCCCGGGGCTAACGACGGAAGGCTAGCTCTGTTCTCTCTGGGTCAGACTACCGGCTCTCCCCTCTTCAGTTCTAAGGACTGAGGAGATGCCAGTAAAGAAGTCTTCACAGATGCAGTATTTACGTGACTCTGGTGCCTTTTTAAAAAAATGAGTGTGGCTCATCTTGTATGTCCACAGTCAATGTGAAAGTACACAAATAGATCAACAGAAACCAATGCCGCACAGTTGTAACATTGGTTTTGTGGTGTTGAAAGAGTGGCTTTGAAAGCTGTGGCTCCTTTGGAAACGGATGTAGGGCCAAGTTCCCAGCTCCCCTCTGCAGCCAGACCCCATAAGGGTAAGGAACTAGCGGGCCGAGGATGCCAGATGCACAGAATTCAATTCCAGGATGTGGATGCGCAAGTCAGACCACAGGACCCCCTCTAAGAGGGCCTGGCCACCTGGGGATGCGGCCCACATCTCCCCAGGCACCGGGGGACACGCTGGCCTCCCTGGTACCAGCAACTGAGTGGCTGTCCTGCCACGCGGCCCCACACCCCCGCCAGCCCCAGGCCTTGAACTCTGCTCCCTGACTGTCAGCGACCGATGATTGAGCTGAAGGGGAACCCCGGCTGACCTCTCACTGTGAGCCGGCTGTAGACCTGGGAGTTGACTTCCTTGTCCCGCAGGTAGCATCGGATTTCCTCCACCGCCTCTCGGATGATGGTGACAGCCAGCACGAAGCCCTGCAGAGAGAGGGGACAGAGTGAGACCTGCTGGAACCCACCTTCCTCTCCTGGGGCCGGGGACAGAAAAGGCCAGAGGGCAGCAGGGCACGGCCTGCTAAGGATCCCAAATGCACATGCCCAGCAAACCCGCTTCTCCAAGGGTCTCCTACACACACCCTGGAGGAACACTCGTCAACACGCAGGCACAAGGACAGCCCTATTCACCACCTCCTAGTCTCAGGGCTTCTGAGAGTAAGAAATGTCAAAACACCCACACTGTCCATCCACAGACAATGGCTGAAGGAGGGTGACCACTAACATCTGAATCTCGCTGGCCATGAGCTGGGCTCCTTTGAAGTGCCTTCCTTCCATTAGTGCATTCCACCCTCACAACCACCCTATGTACAGATTCACCATACGAGATCACTGCGCTACAGATAAGGAAACTGAGGCACAAAGAGGTTAAATAATAAAACTCTTAGGAATTTTATATACTATACACACACACATAAACACACACACACGCACACACACACACACACACACTCTAGAGGCTCGGTGCACAAATTCATGCATGGGTGGGGTCCCTTGGTTTGGCCGGCAATCGGGGCCAATTGAGCTGTCTCATCCAGTCCCCATAGGGCCGGCCGGATGGAGGCAGGGATTGCGGGAGGTTGGCCGGCCACAGGAGGTTGGCTATGGGAGTGCACTGACTACCAGGGGGTAGCTCCTGCGTTGAGCGTCTGCCCCCTGGTGGTCAGTGCACATTATAGCTACCAGCTGATCATCCGGTCATAATGGTTGCTTAGGCTTTTATATATATAGATATACTAGAGGCCTGATGCATGAAAATTCATGCAAAAGTAGGCCTTCCTTCCTCTGGCTGCCGGCACCAGCTTCTCTCCAGCACCTGGGACCCAGGCTTCCCTCCTCCAGCCGCTGGCAGGCACCTGGGACCCGGCTGGCTTCCCTCTGGCCCCGGCTTTGTCAGGAAGGGCGTCCGGAAGACATCCGGTCTAATTAGCATATTACCCTTGTATTATTATAGATAAGCAGGAATTTTAAACACAGGAAATCTGGCTTGAGATCTTAATAGCCACATTGTTCTGCATCTACAGAAACTCCAGTGGGCAGAACCAAGGAGATGGACCACCAGCAGGAGCTAAAAAGAATGAGATACCTGCTGCTTGCATGGACAGGGTCAGCAGGGAAATCAACCTTTCAGAACATAAAATGGAACACCGTTCACAGAAATAACAAAGATTTCATACACTGGGAAAGACTTTCTGCCCTGGCTGGTATGGCTCAGCTGGTTGGGCATCATCCCATGGACTGAAAAATTGCTGGTTCAATTCCTGGTCAGGGCACATACCCAGGCTGCAAGTTCAACCCTCAGTCGGGTAATGTATGGGAGGCAACCGATTGATGTTTCTCTCCCCTTCTCCCTTCCTCTCTCTCCAAAAAATCAATAAAACCTTTTTTTTTTTAAAGAAAGACTTTGCCATTTCCTTAACTATTGGTTAGATTCCTCTGCTAAGAGGGACAAGGATGGAGTGGGATGGACTGCAAGATGTCTGTAGTGTCCTAAATTTTTATAAAGAAACATTATAACACATTCACAGTGTAAGTATCAACTAATAAAAAGGAAATGTAAAACTGTCTGATCCTCCTGAGCCAGGCACCCCAACTCACAAACTCTGGGGGAGACTGGTGTGTGTCGTCCACAGCATGGACCTATTTCCATCCAGTTTTCCCTCTTGTATCCACAAAGGCAAGAGCCTGCATCCATTTTTCTTTTAAATATAATTTTTTTTTATTTTATTGATTTTTTTTTTAGAGAGAGAGGTACAGAGAAAAGAGCAGGAAATAAACAAGGGTTTGCTGTTCCACTTATTTAAGCATTAACTGGTTGCTTCTTGTGTGTGCCCTGACCCGGATCAAACCCAAAACCTTGGAGTATCAGGACGACGCTCTAACCAGCTGAGCTACCCGGCCAGGGCCTCCTTCATTTTTCTTACGAGATGCCCTTATCATCCCTCCTTTTAAAATCACTTTTTAAAAACACAGACAGCAAGGTTCCCACGGAGGGTAGCAGTAGGGATTGCTTGCTGACTTCATTTTCATGCTGTTGACCCTGTGAAATGCATTAACTTTGATTCAGATCCCTTATGTAAATCTAGCCAGAGAGGCGCTGCTTTGTGGACCTCCTCCAAAGCCCCAGATAATTTACAATCACAGGACTCCTCCTGCCTCCTGCTGCCAATCATATGTGAAGAACGGGCCCATTTCAGAACAAAAGCATACGCAGACCTGCAGACCTAGTATGGAGGAGAGGAAGCTTGTTCCGGCACCACAGGCCCGGTCTGCAGAGCCCCACCCCACCCCGCCCCTCCCTCCTCCCCCCACTCACGCTGCAGTTTTGTTGTTCTGGGCCAGAGGCCAGGTTTTTGTTGTTGTTTGTTTTCTTCAAATGTTCTGGTTTCTCTTTGCCCTGCATGGGCCTGGCTGAGTCGCACGGATGACAGTGGGAGTGTGTGCTCATGCAGACAGAAGCTGCGCCCTAGCCAGTTTGACTCAGTGGACAGAAGCATCAGCCTGTGGACTGTAGGGTCCCGGGTTCAATTCCAGGCAAGGGCGTGTGCGGGTTGCGGCTGGATCCCCACATGCAGGAGGCAACCAATCGATGTGTCTCTCTCACATCGCTGTATCTCTCTCTCTCTGTCTCTTCCCCTCCTTTCCACGCTCTCTAAAAATCAATGGAAAAACATCCTCGGGCGAGGATTAAAAAAATAAATAAGTAAGTAAAGACAGAAGCTGCAGCCTCCCTGCTGCCAATGAACAGGGCCTCCCAAGTTCATCCGACCTACCCTTCCCCGCCCCCAAACACACAGTTCTCATTAATTCTGGAGGACACGCCATTCCCTGGCTAGAAATTTATTTACAAAGAGATGCAAATGTGGTCCAGAAATAAACTCCAGCCGTCCAACTTCGGAGGCCCTGCACATCCACAGACATCTAGAAAGAGGTCTGAAAGTGGGCCGGGGCTGTCAGGCCCAAGCTGAGCTTATAGAGAAATGCAGGCCATGGCAGCGCACAGAGAGCCACTGTGAAGGTGTCAATAAGGCTCTGTGGTGATGTTGAACATCAAAAGTCGACCTGCGAAAACAAAACTGCCTGAAAAAGATAGAATTCAGAAAAGCAGCTGCCTCTGGCGGGGGAGGGGTTGGCAGGAAAGGGGCACTGGGAACTTTCCGGAGCGATGGAAGTGTTCTTGTCTTACTGAGGTGGCGTTTACATGGGTGTTGATGAAGGTCAACACTCACTGAATCAGAAACTCCATGTCTGTGCATTTTTTTTTAATATATATGTGTGTGTGTGTGTGTGTATATATATATATATATATACCTTTTTTTACTGATTTCAGAGAGGAAGGGAGAAGAGAGAGAGAGAAACATCAATGATGAGAGAGAATCATGAATCGGCTGCCTCCTGCACGCCCCACACTGGGGATCCAGCCCACAACCCGGGCATGTGCCTTGACCAGGAATTGAACCATGACCTCCTGATTCATAGGTCCACGCTCAACCACTGAGCTACGCCAGCTGGGCCGTGTCTGTGCATTTTATGGTGTATAAATTATATCTTAATAACAAAAAAATCTAGATTTATTACTTGGCCTTCATACAATGTTATGGGCTATTTCTGCTATCTCCTGAAGAAATTCTTCCTCTACTATATTAGTGCCAAGAAAAAGTATTAAAAACTAAAACTTAATCCAGACAGTGAACAACAGTGTCACTAGCGCAGGTTTTAAAAATTAAAATGAGACTAATTTCTATATGCCAGGAGCTATCGGAAGCATTTTCCGTGTTGTTATTTCATGTAATCCTCCCAACAAGCCAAGGAAATAGACCTGATCACCCGTTTTACAGATGTGGAAACTGAGGTTCAGCAGTTTGTTCAGATGAAACAACTTCTCATCAAAGTGGGGCCAAGGCCTGCACCTCAGCCACGTGCTCCACAGCCCTCACGCTGACCTACTGCGCTCCTACCTGGGTTTGAAATGCCGGGGCTTTCAAGATGGTCAGAGACATTTCAAAATGTGTTCTAGCCAAGAACTGCACGTTGATTCCCTGCACAAACATCTAGGGCCTTTCAGGGAAGTCGGCTACAGTCACCTAGAAATAGGTGGTGTCCAATTCATCTTCCACCCCAAGCTCCCTGTTCTGCAGGCCCCGGAAAGAAAGCCAGGACTTCTACCAGACAAACATCCCCTCTGCGTCCTGAACCGTCCCAGGGGCCCTGATCCTGAGTTAGAAACCTCAGGATGGCCCGAGGCTGCCGTCAACCGGCCGGCTTCTAGCTGAGGCCGGGTCCCAGGAAAACCAGGGGTCAGTGGCTTACACTGAAAATCAGGTCTTCCGGCTTCTCCTGGAAAATCCCAGGGACATTTCAGCGAGGAGACAGGACTGGAAGGGGTGGGAGCCCGCCTGGTCACCCCAGCCCCCACCCACTCCCCCAGCCCTTTTGCCTCACCCCAGTTGTAATACAAATAAATATACACTAATTAATAAATAATAACACAAGAATGAACTCTGTTTGGGGTACTCACAACGGTAAACCTACTTTTGCCCACCCCTGTATTTGTTGTGGGAGAGGGTCATAAAAATTGGAGCATACGGTCCATGTTGTTCTGCAACTTGCTTTTTCCACGTCAAGAAAAACATGAGTCACACCCTCCCGGGTCAGCACCTGGAGTGACTTCCCGGCTTCTCACTCCTGGGCAGCGCCCCGGAGCAGCTCCACCAGCATGTGGGTAACTACCGACAGACAAGTGTTTGTTTCCAATTTTTCATTATACGCAACAAGCCGCAACGAATCTCCCTGTACACACGGTCTCCGTGCAGCCCAGAGCCCTTCTGACATCCCAAGACCTTTCCTCGGAGAAAGGGAGGGAGCTCTGTCGCTGTGAGATCGAAAGAAACCCTTCACATCCGACCACGACCTCAAGCGACTTCCCCAGTCTCCTTGGCCCCTCAGTTCTCCCTTATCAAGCTGGGAGTCCTTTCCCGGGGCAGCTCGCTTCGCCTCTGGCCCACAGGGACCCTCGCTGACCGCCTCTGGGAGAATTCACCAGAGCTGATCTCATTCTCACCAACTTTTTCAGGCGTGTGAATTCCTGTTAAATTCATCCCCCCCCCCCCCCTTAGTCGTATGTACATGAATCTGGTTAAGAGAATGAAAAGCTTATTCCCAATGTGGCTGACATCCCCTCCCCACCATAGATGCCAAGATAAGGTAGACGAGGTAGTGGGGGTGTGAACAGATCTGTACCCCAGAACCTGTCGGGTGATGGGTTTATACCACAGGCTGGGCAGACGGGTACCATGAAGAACGAGGACACACACCAGGTCAGATATCACGCTTGAGGTGCAAGAGGCAGGGAGGAGGGGAGACACACAGCTAGCTATCTTCGTGAGCACTTGGGATCCCAATTTACAAAACATATGCACTTACATAACATACAGAATTTACTACACTGTATGTTAGAGTGCGCACAAAACACAGGCACATGTAAGGGACGAAAAGGAAATCGACCAGAACATAAATGGGGCATCTCGGGGGCAGCTGCACAGGGGCATTTGTGTGGGGGTTTTTCCCCCAGTTGTTCTTCAAATTTTTTTCCAATAAGGAAAAGTCCCTTTGTAATTGAAAAAGAAAAAGAAAAATGAACAGAAGCCCCTTGGGAGGCAGTAGAGAGCAGCACATCTGGGTTTGCAAAGAAGCCAATACACAGACTTCAGAGGCAGGGTCTGGAGCATTCCACGCGCCAGTGGGTGCCCTGAGCACAAAGCCACCCACGCGAGGTCCTAAGGAACTCCTACCACTTCTAGCGGAGCACCGGTCGGAGTGTGTCCAATTCACACAGAGCTCTCACATTGTTTTAGTGAGTTGTCAGTGTTCAAAAGTCAAGAAGAGATGCTGAAGATTAGAAAGAAAAATTACTCAGAACTGTGTATATCTTTTTTTAAATTTTCTTTATTTATTTTTAGAGAAAAAGAGGAAGGGAGAGAGAGAGAAACATACATTTGTTGTTCCACTTATTTATGCATTCACTGGCTGTCTCTTATATGTGGAACAACAAATCAAAGTTCCTCTCTCTTTCGCCTTCCCCCTCTCTCTCTCTAAATATAAATGTTAAAACAAATCTTCTTCCAATTAAAATTTAGCCCTACCTGGTTTGGCTCAATTTGGATAGAGCATCAGCCTGCGGACTGAAGGGTTTGATTCCAGTCAAGGGCACATGCCCGGGTTGCAGGCTCTATCACCAGTAGGGGGCGTGCAGGAAGCAGCCAATCAATGATTCTCTCTCACCACTGATGTTTCTATCTCTCTCCCCCTCTCCCTTCCTGTCTGAAATCAATAAAAATATTTTTTTTAAAAAATTTAACCATGTTTGTGAAAAGAGAATCTAAGTGTTCCCCGAGTCCAGCTGAGAGAGAAACAGGCAGCAATTACATACACTTCATGATGTCTCTGGAGAAAAAGGCATCAGCTCTGCCCTTTCCAGTGCCAGTCATGCTGAGCCGCTTTCTGTTCTCCAAGTCCTCTGAGCTCCTGTCTACCACAGGGCCTTTGCACGGCTGCTGTCTGCCCAGAGTCCTCCCACCCTCCTATTCCCCTTCCCATCACCTCCTCAAGAGGCCTTCCATGGCTACCCTGGCTAGTCTGCCCCTCCACAGCTCCCAGCCCCCACCTTCATCCATTCAGCAAACACTCCAGGAACCTGGGATACCCCGCCTGTCCTATGACCTTATTCTGTTACCCTCACAGGCCTTCCCACAATTTGAAGCAACTTTATTAATCTGTTTATTGTCTATCCCTCTGAAAATCAATTCCATGAGAGCAGGAATTTATATGTTTTGTTCATCACTGCACCCCCAGCACCCAACATGGTGCCTGGCGCATAGTTGGTGCTCAATTACCATTTGGCAAAGGAAAGGAAGAAAGAAAAGAAGGCAAGGGAAGGAATGGAGGGGCAATCTGGTCAGTTCTCTCACATTCATATACATGAAAGCACAGAATCTGTTACTTTTTTAAACCCTCCCCCTAAATAGCATACACAGAGTAAGTAGAACATGGGGTCTCAGAAAACAATTCAAACAGCACAGTCCACAGAGACCGGGGCTTGGCCTCCCTTGTTTGCTGAGACGATGAATGACGGAGGAGCAGAGTGACAGAAGGAAGGAATGGCACAGAACTCACTATCGTCTGACCCTGCTGATGTAGGAAATGGAGCTGCAACCTTAAAATCTTGGGGCGCCCAATGAGTTAGCTTGAGGGTGCCCTCTCCCTGAAAGGGCTACTCTCCCATTCCACATGCTAGAGCGAGAGAGACAAAGAGCTGTCTGTCCCCAGCTCTGCGGTCACTGAGCAGACAGGGCGCGTTACTCACCAGGGGGACCCAGTAGGTGTAGAGCGCACCGAGTCTCATTTCAGGTACAAACTGCGAGCAGGCGAGGAGTAAGAAATAGAGGTTGAAAAAGTACTTGAACTGGTTGAACAGCACCTGGAATGTGGAGAGAAGCGAGAGGAGACATTCAAGGCTTATCTGATAGGATTGGGCAGGGCGAGTGGGAGGTGAATAATGTTTTAAAACTTTCCTACAGCCGTGGCGGTGGCTCAGTTGGTTGGAGCGTCATCCCGTTCAACAAAAGGTTTCAGGTTCGATCCCCAGTGTGGGGCGTGCAGGAGGCAGCCGACCAATGGTTCTCTCTCATCACTGATGTTTCTATCAATCTCTCCCTCTTCCTTCCTCTCTGAAATCAATAAAAATATATTTTAAAAAAAAAATAAAAGAAAATGACGAGTCTCTCCAAGGCTAAGGTGGTTAAGCGTGATCGCTGGGCCACTGCTCTGGCCCGGCCACGGGGACACCGGTGGCCAGAATTCCAGAAGGCGTAGCTCCCAGAGGGAAGAGAGTGGTCACGTCTGCATCAGAATTCCCAGGAACAAGAAATAAACTTTTTCTTGAGTTAAGTTACTGAGATTTGGGGGAAGGGTGGGGAGGGCTGAGACAGCGAGCAATGAATGTAATCAAAATCATCCTTAAAAAACCATTCAGGGTGCGTGCAGGGTGGAAGGGGTCAATGGGGAAGAAAGGAGAGCATCTGTAATACTTTCAACAATACAGATAATTTTTAAAAAGAACAACTGAAACTATGCAATTAAAACATTAAGAAGGCACCAACTGTAGACTACCAAGAAAAGGTAATGGGATTCCATCATTAGCCTATTCAGAGGTCAAAGAGCCTTGTGAATAAAGGTAGAGAGAGACTCTGGTTAAAAGAAAAAAAGCATTTGAAGGGACCTTAAGCTACAGTATAATGCATGTGTGTGTCCGTATTATCTCACAATAAATCGAAGATAGTAACGTTTTTTCCTTTCCAGCATTGGAACTGGCTGCCGCTGCGGCTTCTATAGTCGATCAGTGTCTGGAGGCCACAGTGAATAAAAATCGGCGTTTGATTTGCGTGCGTTGGGGGAAGGTTGGAGGAGTTCCTGTCCATGTATTTGTATAAGTTAATGGGAAGTGCTATGACTACAGAGTAACACACCAAGCAAACCAGAAAGTCATTAGCAAAAATGTTAGCAGAGCAAAAAATGTTCCCAGAAATTCTTTGGGTGAAAGGATTAAAATGCATCTTTTTTTTTTTCTCTCTATACTCTTATCCCCCAACTTTCCTGCAGCTAAATATGTGTTTCGTGACGATGGGGGGAAATTTAAGCACTGGGGCTTTCCGGGGTTCTGGTTATAATGCCAGGTCCCTGTAATATCGTTTTCTCTCTTACGCACAACACACTAAATAAGTAATAAATGTGAAGTTGATGTAACTGATCAGGTGGTCTCACAGCTGTGCAGACAGAGAGCAGCCACCGCCAGTGGTAACGGGGTGTGGAAAAGACAAGCGCGTGTTCACAAAACCTGCCACGGGGACCTCCGTCTTCTAAGACTGGCACCACTGCGTGCATTTGGTGTGGGAAGAAAAAAACAGGTGTGGTCCCTGCCCATACATACCCCAGGAAGAAAGGTGAAGAAGTTGTACTTCTGATTGTTGATGACATTTCGGGGGTACCTCTGATCCCTCTTCTCGGGGTGCCCCAGCCAGACCGTGCGGGGCCTGGGCTCTCCCCCACCGCAGCATCTCAGCCACTCACAGCACCTGCGGGAAAGACACGCCCACAGCGTCAAGGCCTCGCCCTCCTCGGCACGTTTTCCTCGAAAGCTTCGGCACTGGGGCCCCTGTGGGGCCGCATCCTCGGGGGAGATGGGAAACAGAACTGGGGCTCCTAAGAAGCTGGGGTCGCAATCAAAGGTGCTTTGCCCCCAAGCCCAAATTATTTATTTCAAAAAACAGAATTCATCTTTCCACTGGCAAGATGGTTAGTACTTCTGCACTGTACAGAGGAGGGAAGAAAGCTCAGGAGAGTGGGTGCAGCCCCCGGGTTTGAGACGTGCGGGACAGCCGGGTCTGGCTCTGACCCGTGCCTGTCCTGTCCAACAGCCCTGCTGTTCGGGCTGCTGCTCACCCCGCGCTCCCTGTGGAAAGGAGGAGGGGCAGAGGCTGCCTTCCCCAGCGCTCCCTTCAGCGACACAGAAGGACGGAGACTCGCCCGGCGTGACCTGGACACGGGCCAGCGTACAAGCTGGAGGCGGGCCGGCCCGAGGGCCCCCCCCACCTGGCCGTCCCGGTCACCCGCGCGCAAGCTAAGGGGACGCCTGGGAACGTGGCCGGCTCTGGCGAACAAAGCCACTCGGAGACACCCCCAAAAGGCAGTGTGTCTTTCCCGAGAGCTACAAGCCCTGGTGAGCACGGCAACAGGAACACCCCACGGTCCCCTCGCGGCCCGAACACACAGGCTGGCGGGAGGAACCCAGCCCGGCCGGCCGGCCCCGCGAGACACCCAGCAGAAGTGAAACCAGCCGGACGGGACTCACATAATTACTTGTCACGGAGGAACTCCCTTCTCCACTCGTCCTGCAGGCCAAGCAGGCCCAGGTCAGGTGCTGGGGTCCAGGGCTGAGCAAACACAGTCCCGGGCATCAGGACCCCAAAGATTAGCAAGCCAGCAAGCTGCCTGCTCGGATGTTCAGAATTTCCACGCTGAAACTCGACGCTGCTGCTTAAAAATAGCCTCCTCGCTCCAGCGAACTGCTGCCCGGTACAGTGTGGCTCTGATAAGGGCGGCTTCGCTCCCAGCAACTCATTCGTGTTGGCGCCTCTTTAAGTCGTCCAACGGCCAGACACACAGAAGCCTCAAGTAGTCCAACCCCATTCCTGCTCTTGGGTGTGACTTACCCACATTGGCCATCTGTGGGCACTCTGGGTGTTGAATGAAGGAGGGAGGGGAGGAGGGACGGAGGGTTGGTTCATTTAATAGGAAGCACACCCTTCCATTTGCAGAACCGGAAATTCTCTCCCCATCCTACAATAACCCCGTAATGATGGATCCCACTGCTGTCTGTTTGTACTGAAAGCTAAAGAATGAATTTAAGGGACTCACATACAGTCAGGCTGGCTGTTTATAGAAGTTTTGTCGGTTATGTTTTAGCAGAAGGCTCGGCACAGCAAGCTGCCAGGTTAAACTGCTTGTTACTTCACTGGCAGGGGCGTGCACGTGCCCAAAGCAGCAGGACCGTCAGTGTGGCCTGCACTGTGGAGGCCAAAGACTGGGAGTAAACCTGACCAGTTGTCAAACCTGGCCGGTCATCAAACCTGACCAGTCATCAACCTGACCAGTGGTCAAACCTGACCGGTCATCAAACCTGGCTGTTAAATGAACAGAGAACGTCCACAAAATGGAATCCCAGCAATCTTTGAAGACCGAGAGCTGCATGGGCCGGGTGGCCCTACTGAGAGATGCACTAAATTGAAAAGCCAGGAGCCCCGGCCTGTGTGACTCAGTTGGTCGAACGTTGTCTCAAGCACCGAGAGGTTGCTGGTTTGATTCCCGGTCAGGGCACAAGCCTGGGTTTCGGGCTCCATCCCCATAGGGGACAGGCAGGAGGCAGCTCTCCCTGCCTCTCTCTAAAATCAATAAAAACGTATTTTAAAAAAAGAAAAAGAAAAGGAAGGAGCTGAGAGGGATGTAGATACAGACTTACACAGGCAGAAAATCTCCTTGGTGGTCTGTCCATTCCCTGGGCTGTCTTAGGAACCAGTGAATTCGTTTTGTTTTATTTTACTTTGCTCAAGCCAGTTGGGCATCTGTTAACCACTATGCCAAACCTCCCATCTGACGGTCGTGTCTGCCACATGGCCGAGCCCTCCTTAAAGATGTATCCCCAATGGATTTATGTGTCTGAGATCCTAAGCTTCTTAAGAGTTCCCGCTGGGCGAGGATGCAGAGAAAAGGGAACCCTCGTGCACTGCTGGTGGGAATGCAGACTGGTGCAGCCACTGTGGAAAACAGTATGGCGTTTCCTCAAAAAATTAAATATGGATCTGCCATTTGACCCAGTGATCCCACTCTTAGGAATATATCCTAAGAAACCTGAAGCACCAATCAGAAAGAAGCACCCCTATGTTCATAGCAGCACACAGAGCATTCCAGCATGACAGGAAGTTCTCCTGGACAGCGTTGCTTTCTCTCTCCCCTTTCAAGACACCTCCCCACCTGACTTTTTTATTTTTTATTTTTAGAAAGGGAGGAAAGGGGAGAGAGAAAAACATAGATGTGAGAGAGAAACACCAATCAGCTGCCTCTCGAACGCGCCCCAACCAGAGATCAAACCCACAACCTAGGTATGTGTCCTGATGGAGAATCAAACCTGTGGTCCGTGGGACGATGCTCCAACCAACTGAGCCACACCGGCCGGGGCGTCCACCTGACTACTGAACCGATCGATGTCAGTGCCAAAGAAGACAGACGAGGACATTGAAGGAAATTTCCTAAGCAGATTCCCAAACTTTAGCCATTTTCATACACAGGATTTCTGCGATATCCAACTACCTCTATTGTCTAAATCCGTGGTCAGCAACCGCGGCTCGCGAGCCACATGCGGCTCTTTGGCCCCTTGAGTGTGGCCATGAAGTTTCAATCGCACTGTAGGTGCACGCCCACACGTGGTACTTTGTGGAAGAGCCACACTCAAGGGGCCACAGTTTGCCAACCACTAGTCTAAATTCACAATTTTGCCTAAATCGGTGATTCCCAGTGGAGGTTAGCCACTGGTAGGTAGTAGGCAGAGCAGGCCAGGATGCTGCTCAATGTCCTCCAACTTACAGGACGGGACCCACGACAGAGGATGACCCGGCCCAAGTGTCAGCGGTGCCCAGGTCAGAACTCCATTTACATAAATGTATTTTAAGAGGTAACTTCATGTCACTATCATAAATGGAAAACCAGCATCACACTTTGTCAGACAAAGAAGGCAAATACCAAAATCAATGCAATGATCAACGCAATGAGAAGCTAACAAATCCCGCAAGACTCCCCCTGGACACAGCGGCGGCCAGGCCCGGGGCCGCTTCTCCTCCCTGTAGCGTGGAGACAGCAGCAGGGTCAGCTGTTAAAAAGGGGGCCCTGCCAGGGTGAGCAATACTGACGGAAAACTGGAAAAGGAAGTGGGTGTCTTCCTACCCGTCTCAAAGTGATTTAGCTCCTGTCCGTGAGTTACTCTATCACTGCAGCGTCTGGAAGCATATCTTGGGAACTAACGTCCTGCAGCATAAGCCTTGGGCGTGGTGGCCAACTTACAAGTGACCAAGTTTCCCTCGGCCCGTCCAAACAGAAGAGGCGGTAGCGAGGCCCTTCTCAGCTTCTGGATTTATAACCTGCAAAGCTCTAGCTCTTCCCCTCCAGGCCGCTGCCAGACCCCCTCTGCCTAGTGGGTGGACTTCAGGCCCCTCCCCCTCCAAGGTCTGGGAGGAAGGCGCCCAGAGCTATGTTGTGACAGCTGTCACCTGGTGTCGTGGACTGCTACTGCTATTTCCTAATACCAAACGGAGCTGTCTGTCACATGCCAGGGCAAAGTAACTCCCACCCCGCACCCCAGGCAGCCTGGGGACATGGCTGCGCCGCAGAATCCCTAAGAGGGAGAATTAATGGAGAGGCTGAAAAAGCAGTGACAGGCGAGAGCCACTGTTTCAACACAGCAGGACCACATGGACAGTGTTAGGAACACACTAGGAACACATCCCAGCCCTGCTCCACACCGGCTGTGCGCCTTCCAGCTACTCATCTGTGAGCCCATTTTCCCTCCCTGTAAAAAGATAAGACCTGCCTTGCTGAGTTACTATGAGGATAAAGATTTTATACAGAAAAGGGATAGGACAGGACCTAGCACATAACAGGCATTCAATTAATAGTAGATACTGAGCCCTGGCCAAGTAGCTCAATTGGTTGGAACATCAGCCCAAATGGTTGCAGGTTGGATCCCTGGTCAGGGCACATACAAGAATCAACCAATGGAGGCATAAAAAAAGTGGAACAAGTCAATGTTTCTCTCTCTCTCTCTCTCTCTCTCTCTCTCTCTCTCTCTCTCTCTAAAATCAATCAATCAATAAATATATTTTTTAAAACAGTAGATATTACTTCTCGAGTTATTTTTCTAGATTTAAAAAAAAACATGAAACAATTTTCTCACCTGTTAATATCAACAGCTATTCAACTAGGTTAAGATGTAAGGCTAGGCCCGGGCTCAGCATTGACCTATGAACCAGGAGGTCACCGTTCCATTCCCGGTCAGGGCTCATGCCCGGGATGCGGGCTCAATCCCCCGTGTGGGGCATGCAGGAGGCAGCCAATCCATGATTCTCCCTCATCATTGCTGTTTCTATCTCTCCCTTCCTCTGAAATCAATAAAAATATAACAAAATAAAAATTTAAAAGATGTGAGGCTAGAGATAACTTAGTCTCACTGCTTCCAGCTTAGACCATTTAAACAGAGAAAAGCCAAAGTAGATTTTTCTTATAAATTGACTCTAGAACAAACAAAGGTGATGACCGCTGATGTGCAGTGGTTTCACACGGCCAGGCCGACAGCAAAGGAAAAGCAAATATTACAGGGGGAAGTGCCATGGCAACCGTGCTTCTGGAAAGGTGACTGCTGCAGCCAGGAGCCGGCCTCGGAGAAGGATCCCGCCTGCTCTCGGGGCCGGCGATCGGCACCCACTCAGTGAGTATTCGCTGAGCTGCTGCGTGACGCACCAACCTTGCC